CTATTAAAAGATAAGCCTTATCCTCTTAAGAGGGTAAGTGCTCCATATCCATTACCAAACCTAGATTTGACCTAGAGTAGCACATGACAACTTTACTTAATTTTATTATTTACGGGCTTTAGGCCCATCTACTTCAAATGCTCACTACCCAAGGTGTTGCATGGCCACTTTAGGCCTGATATTGTATATCTTGGGACCTCACAATGATCTAACTTAAGCCCACATGGGTTTAGTCCAACCTCTAAAAGAGGTTAGGCCGAATTCACTACTGAGGGCAGTGAACCCTTTACCCAATCAGGATTAGTCCTATTTGGGCCCAACATTTACACCTAAATGATCATTGGATTCAGCCATCCTATGAAGACCCAATGATAATGGACTCATGTAAGACAAAGCATATTAGGTAATCAGTTTTGTAATGGTCTTTTACACTTAACCACTCAACCCATAATGATCAAAACACTGTCCAACAAGGAAGGATCTCTCCCCTGGTTGCATGGTGCAATGTCACACTTTCTTCTTGGATGGATCCTAGGATTAAAACCTTTTGCAAATTAGTTTCATAAAATAGTAGTATATAGCATATAAATATATTTTGCAAAACTAGATTTCAAACACATATGAAATCCACTGCCGGTATGGGGTTATATATTTCAAACTAGAGAGAGTGTAAACCCTGATTTTCACTTTGTCCGACAAAGGGGTCGATCCTATCTCTATGGTCACCCACCCAAGTGAATTCTTAGGTTACCCCAACATACCGAAACCCTTAATGGATCTCACTAGTTGGCATATCAAAGACAGTCCAATCCAACACCTACTATAATACCGTAATTATGTTTAAAGTTATGTATAACTTTCTAGTTTTGCCCATCTATCTCCAAGTTTCAGGGTATAATTGGAAGTTGGTCCTGGTTCATTGCTTTTAATAAACACCCACTTGCTGTGGTTGGGGTCTAACCCTATCACTCCTTGGTAGCACACTAGTGCCAGTTTTGGCAAGATAAACTCCCCAAGCCTATCCAACGGTTGAGAACATTTTATATTAACACGAGTCTCATAAGTGTCCAATTTAAGGAGTAATTCATAGAAAACATACCAATATCAACATGAAACAATAATGCACCTTATTCATTTAAAAATAAATATTCATGTACATCAGTCTGATTGGAGCTAAGGGCATATACTGTCTAACATGAACAACCATTACATTCAGCTAATCCAAATTAACTCTCAATGGCATTTATCCACCATTGGAATGGTACAATGTGCCTAAAAGCACCAATTTATACTATTATAAAAAGTATGAATGAGGGTGTGGAACTTTTCTGGACTAAAATGCCCATATTTGTGTATTTAGTCCATCTCTAATTATGAGGGTTGAAATTTATTTTCAATTAATGCTTTCCATCTCATTTAATCCCCTCTTATTAAGTCTTGTATTTATGGTATTAACTCTCATTCTCTCTTATTAAATCATATATTTAAGTTATTTTTTCACTAAGAAATGATATAATTAAATTTGTGTCCAATAATTTTAACAATATACCCATATATTTTAAAACTTACTAAAAAACATTCTTTATCCAAGTGATGACTAAGCAATTCAATCATTTGTATTAAATTAATCAACCCATGAAGTCAAAATCATATAATAAAATTTTTAAATAGAAATAAATATAGAAAATTATAAATATGTAGAAAAATTAAACACATTTATGATATTTAATTAAATAATAAATGAAATTATTTATTGATGATAAAAATGAAATACATAATCTTACTAACCAAAAATGAAATTATTTTCCTATTTGGTGGAGATCAATAGTTCAACTTTTGGGGCAAATGTGTCAACCTTTAATTTCATAATTAAATAATACAAATTAATAAAATATAAAAACACAAAAATGAAAAATGCATAGTTTTTACAAAAAAAAAACATTTGGGACATGTATAATATCATATGTTTATCATATTAAACAAAAAAATAACTGTACATAACAAAATTATTTTTACACACAAAAATAAAAAAAAAATTATAGAAGAAAATGAACACATCTATAATTCTATATTTACACTATTATTAAAAATATGAATAAGATCATGAAAGTTTCTTTTAACTAAAATACCTTTTTTTTTTAATTTAACCCCTATTTAATTGTGAGGTTTAAAATTTAATTTGAACTACTACTTTTCACCTCATTCAATTCCCTATTTTTAGGTTCATACATTTTTTTTAATAAATAAACAAAAAAAGATACACAAAGAAGATAAAATATTACATAAAGAAAAGTCCAACGCAAGTAGGCGTATCAATGATGCCCGAAACTTTGCAACCCAATATGAGGTGTATATGTAATTAGATTTGGATTTTATAATCTACATCCAATTAATAATCAAGAACAAAAATATAAAAAAAAAATACATGAATTTTATAGAAAAATTTTGAGTACATTATTACTATCATTATCATCATTTGTAATTACCACATGCAAAGCACATATACACTTACTAGTTATTTTAAAAGGAGTAATGGTCGAAGGAAGAATACTGAATATCCATTTCAAAGAGCAAGAACAAGAAGCTCCAAAGTTTTTCTCATTTTTTATGGAGGGTCATTTTTGCCAAAAAAAAAGATTGATTTTTATACCAATCACCCATTTGGTCATTATTTTACAAACATAACCGAATTTGTCTATTCAAAAAATTCGGTCGTTTATGTTGTAAAAACCAAAAAGCCTTATTAGTTAAGAAGTTAAACGAATACATATAGTACCCCTATGGCCCTATACAAGTGTTTTAAAAACAGATCCAGAGGCCAAATAGTTTTTGCCTCCGGTTGTGTTTTGCCGGTTTGAGTTACTGGGTCGAATGGTTCAGACCATGCCAATATATATATATATATACATATTTTATCAATAAATAATGTATAATTATATTTCAGATATTATATATGTATTATTTTAAATTTAATTTATATTTTTAATTCAATTTTTAATTTTTTATTTATAAAAGTATTAAAATTACAATTTGAGGACAAAAAAGTTTTTTTTTTTTTTTTGCAAAGATAGCGGGGTGATGCCTTGGGATGCATAGATCTCGAAAAGTTACCAAAAAAAATCACCTAAATTGGACATTGAGTGCAAAGTTATGGCCTCCCGAAGTTTGCATACATAGTATGCAACTTGCAACCCAATCACCGGGTTGATTGAGTTAATGGTCCAATCGTTCAGGTCAGACAGTTTTTTAAAAAGTCAATGGTTTTTGACATTTCTTTGGGTTTTACTTGAACCAGACCCAAAATCTCGACCGGGTCAACAGTAGGTTGAAAACACTGGTATACAATATGGGTCACTTATGAATGTATAGAACCCATATACCAAATGTGAAAGTGTCATGGGAAAGTGGGTAACTTAATGCGATATTCATTATTGTACGTTTTACAATGTAAAAGCGGATCAAATTTGTGGAAGCCATATTCTATTTCTATATGGTGTTAAATGAAATGGGTCATTGCTATGTTTGGTTTCGTGAGTGTTTATTGGAAAAACACCACTATATCAATGCTACACATAGGCGTTGGTGTTTATTGTGCATGAAGCCATTGTTTGGTTTCAACGCTTATCAAATAAATGCTGAAAAACACAACACTTGGATTTATGTGCATGGAAAGTAACTTTATGGGGTGTTACTTGAAATGCCCATAAAACACCCAACCAAACAAAAAAACAATAAACGTTTAAAGTAGTGTTTTTCAAATAAACATTTATCTGATAAACACCACATGGATAAACGCCCATGGAACCGAACACATACTTTATTTTCTTCCTCCGATTTTTTAAAATGGGTTTCTTGCAACCTGGACAGTAAGCATTTCTCATGAATAATCAGACATTTTCAAATGAAATGGGATTAGCTGAAGGCTTTAGTTGCTATATAATAAGCTGTGGAACCGATGATAATGCCCCACACTAGTGATAAAATACATTTGAAAGATTGAATGGTTGTGGAGCCCATATATTTTCTAACTGGTGTGAAGTACTATTATTGGTTCCACAGCCTGCTGAACAGCTATTGCGTTCAGCTAATCCTTGTTAGAATGGTCACTTTGAAGACTACATTGTAGGGGATTAATAGGAATGGCAACGGGGCAGGGCGGGGACGGGGAGCCTCTCCTCATCCCCATCCTCGCGAAAATCCCCATCCCCTTCCCCGCTAATGGGGACAAGGTTATCCCCATTCCCATCCCCACGGGGATCTCCATTCCCCGTGATTCTTTATAATGCTAACCATTTTGTTTTTGTTTTTTATTTTATTTAAAAAAATAAAAATAAAATAATTAACATTTACAATCTTATTAAAAAATATTCAAACATATTCAACCATATTTTTAAAAATATTAATATATAGATGTATGTTTACATATTTACATATATAACGTATGCATACATATATACATATATATTAGTGGGGATCCCACGAAGCGGGGATTGGGGTCCCCGCGAGGCGGGGAGTGCTCTCCCCGTCCCCGCCCCATTCCCGCTAACGGGGATGAAAATTTCCCCTCCCCGTCCCTACGGGGGAAAATCATCCCCATCCTTGCCCTATTCGGGGCGGATCCCCACGGGGATCGGGGAAATGGGGAAAATTGCCATCCCTAGGGATTATTAACTATTAGGCTGCATTTGGTTGGAGTACGAATATAAATTTGTAGAGTGCAAAACAAAAATGTTTGGTTCATGTGAGTTCAAAGTGGTTCAAGATTTACATACCCACTTTGCACTCAGCTCATTTGTTTTGAAAGATGCAAATAAGAATACAATTTTTGTGGATGTTTGACATTTTCATCAATGAAAATACAACTGTTTCTTACTACCAAATGGTGTTCCAGCTACTCCCACCATTAAACAAATATAAAAAATAACAGACCATTAAATAAATATAAAAAATAATAGATTAATGTTGTAGCTGAAACTGCCTGTGGTGTTGTAGCTGAAAATTCAGATGGAAGCTGACCTCTCAGGAGCAATTCTCCTCTTGGAAAGCATGAGTGTCAAGAAAAGAGGAACCATAGCAGCAAATAAATGCTTAAGAGTATGCTCATTGACAACATGAGAAGTCCATTTATAGATCGGTTTGTCTTCTGCTTCTATTTTAGCCAAGAGATAAAATGCTGCAACAATAGGAATTAATACCATGATTAATCTGGTTCACTGTTAAAGACAACACTGGCAGACGACAAAATTTCATGGAAAATCTATGTTCCATGAACCACAAACCTGCAGCCCAAAGCCAATAATCTGAATGCGTATACATTGGAGGCAATAAGATAGCCATTATAGGAATGACAACGCAGGGAACAAACTGGACAAGTGCATTATAATAAAAGAGCAAGATTTATGTGATGAAATCACTAGGTCCAGAAGGTAATCATCATTAAATGGAAAATAATAAGATCTTGCATTCTTGCCTCCAATAGAAAATGCTTATTATACCCGTCAGAACAAGGGGAATGATAGAGACTGTTCCCTTCTTGTCGTCGATCCTTTCAATGATAAAGATTGACATAATTGATGTGAATGCAAGGGTCATCTGCATTAGTTAGGAAATTTTCAGTATGATATGTCAAAAACAATCAACACATAAGAACATAAGAGAGCTGATAAAAAAATATAATAGCATAAGAGAGTGAATGGCTGTAAAGGCAGCAACCATTTGGACAACTTGGGAGGAAAGAAATTCAAGGATCTTTAGGGACCAGATAAGAAATAAGGAAGCTTAGATTGACTGAATAACAGCTAGGGTGGCACACTGGATTAAATCATTGGATGTTTCTTCTCCTTACTTATTTGATAAGAAAGCTTTAGAGCATGGGAAACTGCTGACTGCAGAAGGTCTTTAACTTACGCTATCCTAAATCAAAATTAACTGAAATTGTCTTGATAAGAAAGCTTGTTAAGCATTATATCCCGACTGAAGTGAACAAAAAGGGGATAGGGATGCTCAATCCCCCTTCCTAATATAGACTCAAGTGAACAAAAAGCATTATATCCCATTTGGTTTTTAACTAAATAGACCAAATGCTCACCCCTAATATAGACAGAAGAGATGCGTATCTATTTTCTCCATCACAACATGAGATTCTTAATTTCCTAACATGGTCAAGGATCATAATAAAAATAATGTTTGATATATCTCCTTTGAAACTTACTTGTGTGGAAAGAAGGGAAAAGCATATGTAAAATCTTCACAACCCCTGAATAATGAACAACACTATCAACTAAGCAATATCTTCCACTGGCTGAAGGAATCTCAAATGCCTAAATATGTGCATTCGCAACATCTTTAACATTAACCCATCCAAGTGTTGCATTGGGATATGTATTTGCACCTACAATGTACAAAATTTCGGGAACAATAATAATGTAATCAGAAGCAAAGGCATTTTAAATTTTAATGAATTATTTAGTATTTACTTCTCTTACCCAGGAGAGAAAGTAGAGGCCCAGGGTGGGAGGGGAATTTCTTGAAATTGGAATGAAAGGGGAAATAAAAACATGCGAAGTTGTGTTCAATATTTTACAAAATGAGGTTGTATGTGTGTAGAAAATATTCTACAGGTCAATTATAAGCCTCTCTAACTTCTAAGAGTCATTGTTGAAAGTGATTTTCTTTCTTAGATTCTTGTTCAGTGGTATACTGGTATCAAGGGAATGTCAAAACATACTTCAGGTCAGGGAAATTACCTTTAAAGAAAAATTATTTTAGGCTAACTCATGGCATGGATCTGAATTGTAAAAGTGAAAAAAAAATGTTCTTTGAGAAACCAAAGAAAATATATTTTAAACACATTGTACAAATGTATGCATGTGTGGGTTACAATGTAAACCACAAAGCCCCATGAATTGACACAAAAAGGAGAATAGATGGCTGCTCAATGGTGTAAATGGGGTCTCCCAAACAAAATATACAGAAGAAACAATCGAGTTGGTAATGAGATGTGCCAAAATAGCACCCTCCTTGAGACAACCATTCTTGTGAAACTATTTGCTCAAAAAATTGGCTGATCTTGGAAGCCAGTGAATGAAGGTTCACTCCAGATGTCAAAAAGGCCCAAAGACAGTGGTGCCAGAAAAAAAAAAAAAGAAAAAACAAAAAGAAAAACAGGGGTAAGGAATGCTTTCTACACTGCTTTGATACTGACAGTCGCATTAGAATCAAATTGAATATGAAGAAAAGAAATGATCAAGATGAAAAGATTATTATGTTATACAAGTTATAAATTTCATGAGAAGCTCCAATTGATCAGAACAAAACCATTCTTGTTCACGTCTGTTTTCCTAGGCAGCAATTTTWGGCAATTTAATTGTTGTATTTTGCACTTGTTTAGGGCTGTTGGAGTATATTTGCATATTAAGATGAAGAATGTAAGGGAGTGAGCTTACCATTAACTAATTTCAGAAGAGCTAACGTGGACTTGTCTAGGCTTGCCTCGAGGGGCGTGGCATAAAGGCAGCTTGTAGAATCGGGAATGTAATATGTTTTACATTACATTAGCTACATGAAGTAATGCAATTGAGTGAAAAAAAGAGATTAGAGGTTTTAAATGCTTGAAAATGTTTTATATGTTTGATTTTATTTTTAAATTCTCATTTAAATATGCTTTATATAATTACATCTTATGTTTATGTATTTTAATTTTAGATAATAGGTTTTTTAAAACACTATTTTAAAATTTAAGTTTATATTTTTGTTTAATATTATGTTTATTTTTTTTATTTTTTTGAATTTTTTGACATTTTTTTATTTTATTAGCATTTTTTTTATAATTTTGTGCCTTGCTTCAAAAAGGTGCGTGCCTCACCTTGTGCCTCAGGCACAAATTGACCCCTGCGCCTTGCGCTTTTAAAACATTGAACGGGAATGGATTCAAGGCTAATTTTCTGTTGTAAAATAGGAGTTGAAGGAGTGGGTTTGGAGCTGGTTTCATGTTGGTTTTCTGCTGCACAAATACGGGAGACCTCACATCAATGCAATAACATGACCTTCATAGTTTCTAAAAACTCCCCCTATACCAGTCGGGCTTGGGTTCCCTAGGTTTCTGCCATCAAAGTTTAGTTTGATGAATCCTTCATCTGATGGTTTCCAGTCCAAAACGGGTTTAATCCTTGTAGCAGAACTTTTTAGCTACAGCTTCCAAATTTCTCCACATATCATCAAAGGAGAAATCGGAAAATAACTTTAGAGACTTGGCCCACATTAAAGCTCTATATAAGATGCAATCCAGAATTGCTTCCTCATTTCTTTTTTTATCATTGAACACTTTGTGATTTCTTTCCTCCCACACTGTCCAAATCAATGCATCCCTGATACATCTCCACAGAATTTTACCCATTTTCTTTGTCCAACTGAAGGTCATTGGTTCAAAGAGACTTCTAATCTGAGTAGGCAAGCTCCACCTGTGACCTAGAAGTTCAGAAATCTTTTCCCAAAGACTAGCAACAAAAGGGCAGGATATGAGAAGATGCTAGCAGTTTTCTCCACTTTCTTTACATAAGGTGCACCAGTTAGGGGACAGACACATAAAAGGTCTTATTTTTTGCAAAACATCTAGTGTTTATTTTCCCATGAAAAACTTCCTAGCATAAAGCCCCAACCTTGGGAGGAATAGGTTTAGACCAGATTTCATTAGCAGGGCAAGGAAGAGAGTTTGGGTCTGAACACAAGAAGGTGAAAAAGGAGGCACAAGAAAAAAGACCTTTGGGGTTCTTAGCACAAAGAATGTTAAAGCATGGAGTAGGCAAAGTTTTGTTAAATATGAACTCATTTCGGGCTATCCAAATTCTCCTTGCACAGAGGGCAAACATCATTTTCAATCAAGCCAATTTTGAATAAGTTCTTCCTACAACAATGATGAAACAAAGGCAGACCTCACTGAGAATCTACCTCTAGAGTCTGGCATCCACATAAGTTTATCTGAACCCTCTAGTCTAGGCAGTTCCATATTGCAAATTTGCTCTGCTACCCCTATATCACGGAAGTTTGAGATTTTGCCTCTGCCCCACCTGCTCGAATCAGAATCAATAAGTTCTTTAACCCATTTTAAGTCATTTGGGTTAACCCTAGGACCATAAGGTTTTAAGTTTGGCACTTTTTTTTTTTCAATCCAAGGGTCTTTCTTTTGATAGGTTTCAATCCAAGGGTCATCCTAAATAATAATTTGATCACCTTTTGTTACTTGCAACAAGCCCCACTTCAAAGGACATCCCTCCCTGCTAGTAACCTCCTGAAAAGCCCAAATCATTTCTTGGGAGTTTGAAGAGACCAAAAGCTCTTACTCTTTAAGTACCTCCCTTCAATTAGTCTAGGCTAAGGCTGTCTTGGTTAATTGACTGAACTCTAAGTAGTTTCTACACCAAGCATAAAAAAGCATTTACATCGATGTAGAATAGTAATTGTTTTACTAAAGTTTGACTACTTGAAGTTTTCCTTTGTCAGTTTCTTTAATGTTGTCACTACATATTTTTTTCAATGATACTTGGTTGTATTCTATTTGCAATCAATTCCATTTGGAATCCTACTTAACTCACCTTTTATGCTATACAGCTTTTGGTATGCCTCTGTGTATTGATCCGGAGGTGTGCTTATGAAAATGTTAATAAGGAAGAGATTCAAAAACTCTTTCCTCCTGAGGTCTCACCTGAACTACAAAGACTTCTAATACTTTTGCTGCAAAAGTTTCAAAGGAGTGGCGGCAGTAGTAGGGAGGGTTGGAATTCAGAAATCTGCATCGTGTTTATCCGTACTTGTCCGTATTTTCATCTATTTTCGATGCAAACATTGATCTATAGTCTATTCATATTTTTGCATTGAAAATAGGTGTATTTTTAAACTCTTACCAAACGAATGCAAATCTGAACTAGAATGCAAGTTTGCAACGGTTCAGATTTGCACTCCAACCAAATGCAGCCTTAAGACCAGATGCAATCTATAACGTTCAGAAACTTCATAGTCCTTGATGGGAGGACTTTCTAATTGCCTCAAGAACGCCTATAAATAGAGAGGTCACAACTCAGCAAGGCATCATCTTAGTCTTTTTTATCCCATCCTTTTGGAACCCTAGAGCTGAGTGGAGTGTGTTTGAAACCAAGAATGGCTGGAACAAATTTTGGAAGCCTAGAATAGCCAAATGGAAGGTATGGGTCTATATTATTACATAATTGAATTTCCCTTTCGTTTAATAATGTTTAGAAATGATTGTTAAGCTGATTTCCAACATAATTTTCTTGGGTAATTGTCCAAAACCCACCATCACTTTTTCTGAATTTTCTTAAATTCACCATAACTTTTTAAATCGTCCAAAATTCACCATGTCAGTGAAATTTTATTTTCTAAAACTCACCATCCATTACAACACCGTTAAAGTTGAATGACCCAAGTTGTCCACGTCAACCAAAATGCATATTTTATGGCTAAACTGCCCCTGACTGGTGAATCGGTCTATTAACGAAATGCCCTTAAGGCTCAATCCTATTTCATATATAGATTCATTACTGAGAGTCTTTTTTGCTCAAAACCTAGAGTTCAACATC